CCCCCCCTATTTAAAGGTTTTATAAATATGCCACCTCCCCCTCATCACTCTTTCATTATTTTATTATATTCTCTCTCCTCAGAGCCGGGAAGGTGTTTTTTGTCAAAATTGTTCATTTTAAAGTCTAAATGCCTTGTGTTTCATGATGAGAATGGACAATTTGGATGTTTTTCTGAAATCTTTTCTTTAACAAACAATGTATCAATTTATAACTACTTTTCCCGTTCATACATCATAAATGGATCCTGGGAATCTGCAATGTTGCGGGAACAACACTAGGAACCCCAAATCAAATTTACGCAAAAGACAAACTAAGTGCTTTCACAACCTGGGAATCCAGTCGTTTTTTAGATGAGAATATAGAATGTAGATGGTTGATTTCGCGCGTTTTTCGTTACTTTAATTCTGATAATTCTTACAGGTTTTCCTGCACTAGTAACGAAAGTCAGTTTTGTAGAGAAACCACAACTGAAAATAATCAGTTTTTGAGATATAATTCATAATTGATCCCCCGTTGTAAATCAGGCATTGCCATTTTGCATGGAGGGTCACTTGAAATTATGCTTTCAAATACAGTCCCTTTAATATTTTTAGGTTTGTTCCCGGGCTTTTTGGAGTATCCCATGGTGCTATCCAGTTCATGAGCTATGAGCAATTAAAAAACTCGTATCTCAACTATCATCAAATGCCTATTTCATCCAAGTAAGACATTTATGTTTCAATTTTTCACCCTTAGAATGAAAATATAGAATAAAGTGGATACGAACGGGCAAAAAATGAAAGTTTGTTATGTGTTTTTACCTGAAAAAATTTATAATTTGTATTTGCAGTTTCTCTACATAAGTAACGGTGACTCGGGGATTAATGTAGCATAAAAAAAGTTAAAACGAGGTCAATGGAACTTTGTTAATAGTTTTAATAAAGGCACACTGAAAGTTACGTCATCAATTAATTAGGTTAATTCAACCCATTTTATGTATATAGTAAACAATATGTATATATGTAAACAAGACATTCGTATAGGACCGAAATGGCTGAATTTTTTTTGTGGACATTCATGGGTGACTGGTGGCTACAATTCGAAAAAAAATTGAATTCCAAAAAAAATTTAATGGGCAACGCCTGACCCTTCAGCTTGTTATTATTATTAGAGAGAGAACCAGAAAACTGTAGAATAGGAAGACAACATTTAAGCAATAGCCACGTGTATTTTATGCTGTTACTCTGCAAATACTAGTAACATTTACTAACTAAAATGGGTCTGCACAGCTGCTTTGTCTCATGTTCTATGGACTATTTTCAGTCAAAACTTGAAGATGAAAGTCGTCTTCCTATTCTAGAGTTTTATGGTTATCACTATATCTTTATGTTTTTTAAGGTTGGGAAATACTGAATATCTGTTTTTTGCTGCAATATCTAAATTGATCGCTGCTTTTACAACATATCCTTATCAGGTTTATATTTTCTATTTTTCTATTATGAACGTTTTAAAGTTCTTTTTAAAAAGCCTTTATCATCAGAAAGCAAATTTTTACAATTTTTGCGAAGAATTTTTTTTTTAATTTGAAAATTTTGCATATATTTTTTTTAACTGGTTGGGTCAAGAGATTTCCAAAAATGTTTAGTTTTGTCATATTTAGCGCAATTTTAGTAGTTGCATAATATTGGCGAAATAACTCGATTTTACAAGAAAAAAATGGATTTTTGAGAAGAAGAAAAAATGTAGAATATTGCCTTTCCAAAAGATATCTAATGTTATAGATTTGTATCACAATGAGAAAAATAGAGTCTAAATACCTATTTTTCTCATTTTTTCAAAAAAGGCTTCACTGGAATTTCCATATCTGCTATTACCTTACCAAAGATGCCAGAATTGACATTTGACAGTACTAGAATTCCAAGCCTTAAAACCTGAAACTTCTCGAGGTGTACAACTGTGTGTCCAATATCCATCACAACTTTACCCCGTAGTTGATCTAGTCGTACATATACTTCAACTTCTTTTCTCTATCCATTAATTCACATGCTTGCCTCTTTTTTTAACCTACGATATCGGGTTTTTTTTAATTAAAATTATTTTAGGTTGTTAGAGCTCGTCTTCAAGATCGACAACTAAAATACTCAGGTTTAAAAAAATCATTTTCATTTTTCATTGACGGAACTCTTTGAGAAATTTAAGACTGTACCCTAGATTGTCAAAAATCTCCATATCTTTGCAATCTTATGTCGGAAACCTTTTAAGTTAAAACTATTAGTTCTGTTAAATATAATAGTCCATGTTTGAAATATATTAGATTTACACCATCAGTTTGCAAAGTGATAAGGATTTTAAAGTTTGAATTTGTGACAAACTCAATTCCTTTCCTCTAATTGATGCAAAAAACGGATAAACACTAATACTAATACTATTTTTTCTTAAAAAGGTTCAATAGATTGTATAAGAAGAACTTACTCTGGAGAAGGTTTAACCGGATTTTACAAGGAATTCTTTAGATATAATAATATTTATTCCATCAGTATTCATGCCATTTTAATCAGTAATTTAACTTGTTTTTTAGATATTGTCAAGCAAAAATTTGCAAATTTATTTGCATTAGAACTATCTTCAGAATTTATTTGAAATCAATGTGCCAAAATTAGAATCATCCTTCTTAAAAATTGCGTTTTCTGAAAGCTGAGGGCGGAATTTTTAAAAGCACATCTCCGCATTTTTTTTTATTTTCCTTTAAGATATCTCCGACCAAATAGAAAAGGTATTACTTCAAATTAAAAAATCTTCTATGGAAACCGAGTTAAACGCGTCGAAGATTTTCTGCCACTCAAATATTTCAACCTCTGAAGTGCATACATTTGGTAGAATTTTCTTTTTTACTGTTCAATAATGATTGTTGTTGTTAATATTAAAGAATCCTTAAAGGGACTGATACCAAATTTACTCCGAGTTGTTCCTGCGACTATGATCACGTTTGTTGTTTATGAAAACGTCTCTCACCATCTTCTTAACAGGAAAATATCTTATTAATTTGTTCAAGGACACATCAACCAATTTTGTTTATGAAAAGAATGGGTTTGAGATGATATCCATAATTAAAAATTCTAAGATGCAAAGTAAAATTTTTTTTGGATTCAGTAACACTACTTGGGTTTTGTTAACTTTATTTAGACGGTGAAAAAATGTCGGTCAATTTAACAATCAAGTTTAATATAAATAGGTGCTTTATCAAACATTTCTCAGAAAGAATTTATTTCTAATTTATCAAGAACTGGCTTGGGAACCCAGCTTTGCCTGGAAACTGATCTTTCTCTATGAAATACAACTAACTCAACTTAGAGTTTTTAAACCAAGCAAAGAACAACTCCTTGGTTAAGTTTTGGCAAGTTGTGCCCCCTGTTAAAAAAGTGAACGATTCTTTGTGATTTCAAATGTTAAGCAAAATTTAATGAACTATGCTTATAGGGCGCTTCGTGCCAATCTTTTATTTCAATTTTGAACATTTTCTCTTTGTATACATTGTAAAACAACAACAATCAAAAAAGCTTGCGGATTTTCAAAAAATTCGTGGATTTTAAAATTTATTGAAAATAGAATTTCTTTGGAGGCAAATTTTTGGGAATTTTGATCATTCATAGACCTTCCATGGGGTCACGTGAGGTTCCACACTAAATTTGTGCCCGGATCGGTTCAGCCGTTTTGATGTTTATTGGATTTAAACAAACAGACAGACACACAAACAGACCAGCAAAGTAAATAAATAGATTTAGTAAATCAGAAACGATGATTTTGTAAAAATAAATGAATTTCATCAAAATTCAATTCAGTTTTGATACCAAGAGACTCTTTACCGTCATCACCATTTAAAAATCTGATAAAAAAATGCCCAACAATTCTCTGAGCAAAATAAATTTATTTTTTTCCAAATGAATTAAGAAAGAATAATACTCAAGGGAATAGATCCAAAAGTTGCAGAATCTAAGTTGGGGAACAGTCCATATTTTTGTTTATAAGATAAATTATTTTAGAAGTAATCCTCCACAAGTTTCCGGAGTACTCGACATGAAGAAGGAATCTTGAAACTAGATCTAGTCAAATTTAATTAAATAAATGTTATTGTATTAACTTTCATGAATGAACTGAGGCAGAATTTAAAGAATTTGAGCAGTGGCTTAAATATGGTTAATTCAACTTAAAATTGTATTCAATTTTTCAAGATTTAAGCCGGCGCTCAATTAAAACCGGGTTTTGGTAGATTCAAGCCGCGGCTCTAATTCATTAAATTCGGAAACTGGTATCTTTTCGGAACTAAGAGATTTGAGTGATCTTTTTTAAACAGGCGCGTACCCGGTTTGCAACGATACCTTTATAAACCTTAAGTATGAAATGTGCAAGTCAATTTTATAGCAATGACACAAACGAAAATAATCAGTTTAAAGAAACAAAAAGATGGATATCCAATTCATACTTAATCAGACTTAGCTTATTAGGATACTGTTGGGAATCGGACATACCGCTCTATCAACGAAGGGTCACGTACGGTTCCTTTCAAGTGGAAAATAAAAAGATTATTAAAAGTGGATTCTAGCTTTGTCGAGAAAGGATAGATTTACTGGCCACAAACTCTGATTTTATGTTACCTAAATCTTTTCAACAGCTGATGGCGTAAATCTTTGAAATTTGTAACTTTGATTATTATATCTGTCACAATGAATTGCTTGCAATAAAAGGTCTACACAATAGGTTGCAAAAATAAAAGGACTGGAAATTAGATTCGTGGTGAGAAATCAGTTTTTCATAAACTGTTAAATATTTAAAAAGACATTTATAATTATCTTTTTTGTTAATTTTAAATGGTTTTGCAAAAAAAATTATGTTTTAGATGAAAAGTATAAAAAATTGCAATTTATTTTTTTTAAAGCTTTTAAAATAATCCTTTTTTCTGCTATTGAAACATTGAAACCCTTAGTTAGGAAAAGTTACAAGTTCATTTAAGTTTAAGTTGTGGTGATGGTTAAAAATTCGTTGAATTAATTTAAATATCTGTCAAAAATGTTATTAATATTTATACAAGTAAAGTTTTAATTGTGTTAGTAAGGGAAATTAAACGCAATTTCCTGCGAACCTCCAATTAAAATTGCTATATTCAACGAGTACCGTTGTGAATTGGACATGCACTTCATATTTGTAGAATCGCTCGAAATTACATGTATAGTCCCTTCAAGATTGTACCTGGTTTTCTTGGCTCTTAAAAACTTTTTGGATTAAGAGTTCATTTTTTTAGGCTACACATCTCAATTGTATTAATGATGTATAATCATGTAAAACCATTTTTTAATTTGTTCATTTAAAAAATTCTACAGATTCAACCTGTTAAACTTTGCTCATTTAAATTTCAGATGTTGCGTAATTTCCAGAGCGTATTTCGCGTATTGGGACGACAAACTCGTCAGTATTCTGTCAAGTCGGACCATGCAGTTTGGTCTCTAGGAAGGCTTAATCATGTCGCTATAGCGGTAGGTCTTATTACCATTTCTTTATTTCAATTAATTCAATTTACTTTTAAAACTAAATTTCGTTTTATTCTGTTAGTCTCTAAGTGCGCCTTGTAGTCGCGCCCCTTTTTCTAATAATAATTTTAACTTTTTAGTTCATGATCTTCACGTCCTTATTTTTTCTCAATCTTTAAAAAATAAATTCGCGGAATTTTCTGTTTTAATTTGCGCCTTTTAAAAATATATCAATGTCGACATTTTTTCGATTTTTTTTCAAAAACTTATTAAACTTTCCTTGGTGTCACGTGAGTTGCTACACTAATGGCGTTTATTGGATGAGTTGGGTACTAACATACAAGCGAAGTATATAGATCAACGTTTTTTGCACACATTAATCTGACAAAAAAATACTATCATATAAAAATGGAATAAGTATATGATGGGAGTATCTGTATTGTTATGGTATGTTATATTAAATGTATTGTTTGTCAATATAGGCAAATTTAATATTTATTTGGTTTGGTGCAATATGCGCCTTTCTTCGATTTTAGTTTTAAATTGTTGCTCTATTATCAATTTTTTTCGTTGATTTTGAAAAATTAACATTTTTTGAGGCAAATATTTTCAATTCTAACCATCTATGTAGGAATTTTCGTTGGGATTATGTGAGGTCCCGCAAAAAAATGTGAGCCCGAATTACTCCATAATTTTTTTTTTTTTTTTTCATGGATCAAAAAGGAAAAGGGATATGTCCTAAAAATGACTAATATACCTACAAACATTCCAGGGGTGTTGGCTGGGTCGAATTGGGAAGTATATTGCATTGTTTTTAGAAAATTAAGCGAGGGGGAGGGTGGTAAATTTCAATTTTTTTTTTCACACATCATATGGGGAAAAGGTGGGAACCGAAAGTTGAGGCATTTTTGGTTAAAAATTGATAATTTAACTTTTATTTGCAAAACAGGGGAGTGTAATTTGTAAATAGGTGGCAACAGAGAAATGGACCAATTATACACGACGTCACAAGTGACAAATATAACAAGGAAAACGAAATTTTCTCACATTATTTGACATGTTTTCCAAGATTAAATAAAAATTAAAAAAATGTAAAAACGGAAAATAAAGAACACATAAAATTGCACTTATTTACTTTCTAAAATTATCACTATTTTTAATAATTTGTCGGACACAAAAATTGAGTTAACACTTGTGACGTAAGAATACAGCTGTAAGCCTGTACTGAGAGTGTACAAATTCTACGTTGCCATCTAATGTACTGGAATCTATTTGGTAAATTTTAGTTCTCAGGTGGTGGGGGGGGGTAAAATATCCTCATATTTTTGGTCTACCTCCCCTGACTTAAATCCTAGAACCGCCCTTGCTTAACTTCCCTGTCAATTATATAATTGTAAATAATTTGTATTTTCTGATCTCGAGCGTTGCTATAGAATTACGGTCTTCTAACTCCTAATCGATTTCGCTCCTCTTCGTAATTGGAAAATTTAAATTTTTTTATTTAAAAGAAATAAGAAATTTCCAATCCCTATATCTTTTCAATCTGATGGAGTAGACCTTTATTAAGAAATTATTAATAAAAGCTTGATAATTCACTGGTTTACATCATAAGGATTAGATAATTAAGCGAGTTATCAGATTCTATCACGAACTTGAGACCAATGAAAGTGTGGAATAGGAACACGACTTATAGCAGTATTATGTGTATTCGATGTTGTTTGATATAGAATAGTTTTACAAGTTGCTAAATCATATATTGAAAAAGATCTCTGTGTGTGTGTGTAGTGTACATTTAAACAGTTGCCTTTGTATTCCTCAGTTTTATATGCCCCACTGTATAAAATATCAATTTATCCCCTATATTTAGGTGCCTGATTTAGATGCTGCTACAGCACTATATCAATTTATCCCCTATATTTAGGTCCCTGATTTAGATGCTGCTACAGCACTATGTCAATTTATCCCCTATATTCAGGTGCCTGATTTAGATGCTGCTACAGCGCTATATCAATTTATCCGATATATTTAGGTGCCTGATTTAGAAGCTGCAACAGCACTATATCAATTTATCCCCTATATTTAGGTGCCTGATTTAGAAGCTGCTACAGCACTTTATCGTGATATTCTAGGGGCTACAGTTAGTGAGCCTCAGGTATTTAAAATATTTTTACATCCGGTTTATTAACGTTAAAAGCTTGTTTTGCTGTGAAGAGCCCCCCTCCTACCCCGCACCGGGTGCAAAGTTTTTCATAGATTAAAAAATTTTTGTTATATTTTTAAGCTCTTAAAATGTATTATTATCCGAAAAAATCTTTTTTTATAAAATCAAACAATTTTGATGAATATCTAACTTCTCATATTTTCAAAGGCCTCCTGAAAGCCTGAAGGAACTGTAAATTTAATTTTAAGTGACCCTTTATATATTTAATGGCATTCCTGATTCACAACAGTACCTTTTCAACCTCGAGGTTGACATTTATCTAAGAAAGTATTGAACTCTAAATATTGTTACTTTAATAAAATCTGATTCGAAAATATTCTATTTTCACCTCGACAATGGAGACATTATTCATTCTTGATTACACAAAGGTTTAAAGAGTACAATTGTTAATTAAACATGCCACTCTATGGATTGGTATGTCACTTAAAATCACATCTGTAGTGTTTGAAAACTGACCAATGCAGGGGATATTAGTTCCAAACTGAATACTTGGCTCATTTCTAAAAATGGCTAAAACTATATATTGAAACAATAATTGCCAATTTTAAACTAATAATAAGGTGTGAGAATTAGTTTTTGATGATTCTCGATTTCATTTTCGAACATACCCCTATTTTGTAACAATTACCGGATTTCCGCTCATGTCGCGTTTTCGGAACATATCCTGGTTTTGAGACAATTACCGGAATTCATAATAATATGATTTAAAAATCATCACAGCATTGAGAAATTTATTTTTATTTAAAATGCTTGAAAATAAATCATCGATATTCTCTAATTTAACAGATAAAATGTGAAAACTTAGATTCTAGAAATTATTTAGAAAATAATTTAGTCTTCATAAGATAATTTTTGTTTTCAGTGATTTATTTTGTAAGCTATGAAAGTGAGTTTTGTTTTGAATTGCAGATATCACTCAAAAAACGGGAAAGTGGGTTTCAAATTCACGATATGTTATAAATGGAAAACCTGACATTGTCTTGGAAACGGTTAATATAAAAATTTAACTCCCATTATAATTTAGATATAATAAAGTTTAAAATTGGGAATTGTTGTCCTCGTCATGTTTAATAAAATGTTGGTTCTAGTTTTTAATATCGAAGTTTACTCTGGATATGAGCCGGGATCCAAAAAAAAGTCTTTTAATTTGTGCCAATGTGCCAAGTGTTAGTTTTGGAACTAATGTCCCCTCCCCTGCAATAGGTTGCTCAAATCATTACTATTATTATTATTAGCAATCAACCTACAGACAACATACCATGATAAAATACATTTAATACAATGAAAGATAGGGTTGAGCTTCCTAAATTTAATATTTTTAGGGACTACCGGAGCATGGGGTAACTACAGTGTTTGTTAACCTTGATAATACCAAGGAAATTTTAAATCTAAGTTTATTTGTTAAATCTTAAATAATGCTTGACCGGAAATTTGAAACTAGAGTCAAAGAGGGAGAATATAGTTCTTCATTTAAACTGGAATCCATTCCCGGCCTATTTGGTCTTTCTTGGATTTCATTTTGCACTCAAAAGAATAAAATTTAGAATTTGTAAACCTTTTCAAAAAATGATTTAAATTTTCCAGCTTGAATTATTGCATCCGTTAGGAGACAATTCTCCAATTGCTGGTTTCCTCAAAAAGAATGCATCAGGTATGTCGATTAAAGATGTAGATTCAACATCTCCAATAATACAAATATTATTTCCAGCGACACTCCATGCAAATATAACAATGTCAGATTTGGTACTCTTGAAACCTTTATCTGATCAAAGTTGTTGACTCCAAAAGCATTTATTTCTTTGCTTCTTTAAAACAAGACATGTGCAGTGTGCACTGCAGTGCAAGTATCTCGCAGAGAAACCGCAAATGAAAATAAATGTTAGAGAAACAAAAAAATTATATTTAGTTCATTCATGCTTTTAAGGATAACGTTGTAAATCGGGCATTGTCATCTTTGCATGGAACTGGAGGGTCACTTGAAATTACGCTTTCAGTCCCTTTAATTAAATACTGTTGTTATATAACGTTTTTTCTCTTTTTGCTGAAGATCTGAGGAGGGGGGGGGGGGATCATTCAACAAGAAACATCCCCCCCCCCCTCTCTCTCCCCTCTAGTGAAATTAAGTTAACCAATTGTTGTTGCAGGCGGTATTCATCATATATGTATTGAGGTCAATAACATAGACGCAGCAGTTCAACAGATGAAGGTACAGTGGCGTCCTTAAAACTAAACTTGTAAAACAATATTTAAGAAAATGTATTTGATGTTGTTATAAAGTAGTTTGTTTAACCAGATAGCTTGAAAATCATATGGTTTATCTTTCGACATTCGCCACTTCCGCTATACTACAATTCTTACCTACTCTAACGTGGTTTTACAGATGCGATTTGGACAGCTTCCTGTCCCCTAGCCTGTCCTAGCTGCAGCGCTTGGCTCAGAAATTGTCCTTGCCTAACCCTTAAATAATATAAAATAAATTAAACCTGATGAATGTGTTTTTTTCATTGCATTTAGGCAGTCTCAAAACTGATTCTCTCCCTCTCAAATTCACTTTTAAAGACATACGAACTGTGTTTGATCAGGAATGCGAATATATTGTAATGTCTTTATTTTTTGCAGAATTTCCATGATTAATAGCTTGTTAGAAAGGTATAGCTGTTAGCGTTTGATTGCTTTATAATATAATCTGCTGAAAAAAAATCATACTTTCACCGGCAATTGAGAAGAACCAAATCAGGGTACCCCATCCAACTAGTTCCAAGAGCCAGGCTGCAGCTAGGGCGGCCCTGTAAAATTCTTTCAGAGATGCTCTTTTTCTATTAAAAAAGATATATATATGAAACTTAGAAACCTCCAAAACAATTTTTGACCATCTTTTGCCTTTTTTTTTAGTTTTAAAATGGTCCTTAAATCCTCAGTTTTTAATTTAGAATGATGTTTTATATCATTTTAGACATGCCTAATACTCTTCTTAAACTATAAAAAATACATTGTATGAAAATTAGTCATTTTATTAGCAAATTTAGCAGCAAAATCGTCAATTTATCTGTTAAAAATATTTTTTTGAAATCATCCCTAAGTTGTTCCAAAAAACAGTTCTCCTAAATTCTCATTTGTCCCATTTATTTTTATTCTCCGTATATTCAAAGGCAGGATTTAAGTTTTTCTAGAAAATATACATCATACACCCAGGAATATACTTCAATTTTCTAGAAAATATACATCATACACCCAGGAATATACTTCAATTTTCTAGAAAATATACATCCTACACCCAGGAATATACTTCAATTTTCTAGAAAATATACATCATACACCCAGGAATATACTTCAATTTTCTAAAAAATATACATCATACACCCAGGAATATACTTCAATTTTCTAGAAAATATACATCATACACCCAGGAATAAACTTCAATTTTCTAGAAAATATACATCATACACCCAGGAATATACTTCAATTTTTTAGATTCTGAAGAAAATACATGAACCTCTGTTTGAGACTTTTATTTTTTTTTATTTTTCAGGAGAAAAATATTCGCTGTCTTTCTAAGGAAACAAGAATAGGTATGATTCAGTTTTTCAAGGGGAAGGTAACCAATTGATATTAAAAAAACAGCTTCTTCAAACTTCCATTTTCGACAAGTAGGTTTTTTTTTAGTTTTTGGAGTCAATTGGTCCCAATACAAAAAAATTAAGACTATCTAAATGAAATTACTATCTTTGTGAGGAAAAATGTCTCTTCTTTAATATTTTTAACTTAATTTGTTTTTCCTTTTATCAAATTTGCTCTACGCAACATATTTGATAGGATCAGCTTAAATATTTTAGTATAAATATTAGCTTACATTTCATTATTTCTTTTCTACATGAAGAAGTAATCCATATTTTAGGTACTCACAGTAATCTTATCTTTATAATAAAGCTCTTCTCAAGTTCTTATATATTTAAATATACATATTCAATATATAAACAATATTAATTAAATCGTTTTAGCTGGTTAAGCGACAGGACTAAAATTACATATTTTTTTTAGGAAACCCATGGGATGGACCCACACTCCACTGCAATAATAAATATTTTAGGGACCCACAGTACATATTTTAGGGAACCACAGTAATTATATATATTACAGGGACCCACAGTAATTATATATATTTGAGGGAACCACAGTAATTATATATATTACAGGGACCCACAGTAATTATATATATTCTAGGAACCCACAGTAATTATATATATTATAGGGACCCACGGTAATTGTATATACTCTAGGAACCCACCGTAATTATAAATATTATTAAAGGGACCCACAGTGATTTTATATATTCTAGGGACCCACAGTAATTATATATATTCTAGGGACCCACAGTAATTATATATATTCTAGGAACCCACAGTAATTATATATATTCTAGGGACCCACGGTAATTATATATATTCTAGGGACCCACAGTGATTATACATGTGTTTAGGGGCCCATGGTAAACCTGTAATGTTTCTGCATCCTAAGGACTGTAATGGAGTTCTAGTTGAGTTAGAACAAGAATAAATATACTTAATCATGTACAAGAACAGGGCTCACCCACAAAGGATGAGATTTAAAGTCGACCTTAAAGGGGCTGTACGCCTAATTTAAAACGACCTGACCTCCTATGCACTTTAAGTTATATAAGCAAGAAATGCGCAATTCAATTTTGGAGGTATTTCACAAATTAAATTTATCAGTTTAAAGAAACATAAACATGGATATCTAATTCATACTTTAATTAAAATTACGCTTACAGTCCTTTTGATCTTGTGCAAGTATGGGGCTTACCAACAAAGAATGAGACTAATGCCGACCAAAAATGAAATATAATAATCTTCAGGTCTAAATTGGTTGTGTGCTTCGGACAAAGTTTTAAAGAAATGTACGAAATTATTTGTAAAGAAAAAAGTTTATAATTGTGGAATAAAATCTATTAAATCAAGTATTCATTAATTCAGTACCGTCGTCTCTGAAGTCTCATGCTTTATGGGTAACCCTGTCAAACATTAAGGGAGATAGATTTTTATAAATTATTTTACTCTCTTATATTTTTAGTACAAATAGTGTAATTTATAATATAATATTAAATTTATATTTTTAGATTTGAATAAATATAGATATTAGAAATGGAAATCCATGGTATAATTGAGTTTTTTTTCTATTTATTAAGGTAAATTCATTTTTCGTTTCGAGATCAATACAATTCTTCCAGAATACAAAAATACATAAATGTTTGTTTTTAATTTCCATCAGAATACGACAACATAATTTTAAATCGACGTGTCTGTAAATTGAATAATAGAATAATGTATATAATAGAGAAATACGTTTTATTGATATTTTGATTAAAAATATATAAACAATGCGTTAAAAATATATAAACAATGCGATTTTATTGGAGTATAATCGCGTCTGGGTTTTAATTTTAAAATCTAGATATTTATTGTCTTCTTATTTACATTGTACAAAATAGTTTACGTGTTCAATAATAAAGCTTAACGACAAATTCGTTTACATTTTTTTTGAGAGATTTATATAAGGGTTAACTACATACATTTTTTAAATTAAAAATTTGGAATTAAGGATACTTGGATCCTGCAGAACATAAAAATTGAAGAGTGCACCAATGAAGAAGTAGAACATTAAAAGCGTATAATAATTCGTTGACGATAAAAGGGTATGCGAATAGAATAGAAATTTTTAATATAAGAATCGTTTGCATATAATTTGGGCAATTTTTGTAGAAATCAGTTTGCGCAAACACTTTACAAATTTCATGAAACAATGATATAAATTCAAGGTACACTATATGAAAAATACACAGATTGTACCAACGCAGAACATTGAAGGTTCTTCGTTGGTATGGCATTACATTAGTTAAACTATGTAGTCTTGATGCTATTTAGCCAACGTAAAGATTGAAAACTATATCTTTAAGATACATGCTGGCGAGGAACATTGAGGGTTCCTTCCTGCATGTTCTTTTCTCTCTGTGGTTTAGAATCTACACGACCGACGTGAAGATAACAGACTCCAAAATTAAGAAACATATTTGTAGAGTCATTTAGCTTCAATTGGAAGGAAACACATTATACTTAAGAACTAGACTCGCGTAGAACATTGATGGTTCAGCGCTTGTCTAGGATATTAAAAAGAGATTAGGGTTTAATCTCTTCATTTTTCTCAAATTTTCATACTCATTCATTCAATTGGAAGAAAACACATTATACTTAAGAACTAGACTCGCGTAGAACATTGATGGTTCGGCGCTTGTCTAGGATATTAAAAAGAGATTAGGGTTTAATCTCTTCATTTTTCTCAAATCTTTATACTCTGGAGCAGATATGGTGCTCGTTTATATTGTGCTACGAATATTGGGTTTTAATGATAAATTAGATAATCGTTCAGCTTATAAAAATTATGAGACTTTAATTAAGCAATCAGATTAGAATAAAGGTTTAGTGATATCCAGAAAGTATGAGACCTTTAGAAAGAAATTTCTGTTTCGTGCCGGTCGGCGACTTAAAATTTAACATGAAGGACTGAAATGGTTAAACGGTAGAAGGAAAAGTTTATTCATCTTCAGGTGTTTACACACTAGAAATACATCAAAATTACAAAAATACAAATAATTTTTTACTTTTTACAAATAAAAGTTTTAAGAAATTGTATTAATTACATACCAATGACGCTCTGGAGTATAAACTAGATCCTTCAGTTATACAGTCAACACTGACTGGTTTAAGGATAAGTTTATATATAGTGCAGTACGGTCAAGGTTTGTAAACAAAACCGGACCAGAATAAAAAGCAAATCAAGGAAATAGGAGCGTTTAATTTTCTTATGTTAATTCATCAAACCACAAAAGATCGCGATATAAAACTCGCGAAACAATTTCATAAATGTCAAATTCAGATATCCAGAGCCCGCGATTTAAAAGCTTCGGCTCGAGTCGTAATTCCTTAAACCCGACTTTAAGACCCAATCTTCGACCCATCTCTAATGACAGCTTGTGTCACGTGATTGACAGCTGCAAGATCTTCAGCTCGACTTAAGGAGTTAGGCCTAATGAAAATAAAACCGACCTTGGTTGGTTTTAGTGGAGAATAAGGCTCAATGTTGAGTCTTGTTCTCATAAAAACTGGGAATGCGCCAATTCCTAACATGAAAATCCGCCAAATAGAATATTGAACCGGTTTTTTAATTCAACTCGGTGGAAAATTAGATGCAGCTTGAATCCGAAAGCTCAAGCCGTAAATAAGGTCCAACGACAGCTTAGACCCGAGCCGTATTTCCCCGAATTTTTTAAATCGCGGGCTCAGATATCGGTTTTCATAGTTTTTACACAAGCTTTTTTGAGTTAGTTTTTATTCTCGAAAGAAGAGTTGGAATTCATTTTCTCTAATTACAAGGATATTTATCACTCCAATATGCTTGGTTTTATTTGGGTCGTTATTATCATATGGCAGAGGAAGGAATGCAAGCGCTCAAGCCACATTGTTTTCTCACCCGAGCCACAACCAAAAAAGAAAAGCTCTCGTATACGGACATACTTTCATTTAAGTAGACACAATGTAACAAAGAAGACTTTGATATCAAATGATACTTTAAAGGGATGGCTTAAGGCTCTTAAATAAGGGTTTGATTTCAAATCTTGCCCACAGTCGGGTTTTTCAGCCCGATCTCTTCTTATATATATTTTTAAATTAGAAGTTAGTTTTTTGGAAATGTTTTTTGGAAAAAAATAAGGATTCTGTTCAATAAAATTGTTACTTCAGCTTGTAAAGATCACAGCACAGGACCAAATCTGAGCCATGCCGCCACTTCAGCATACCCATTACCTACCGATTGTTCTGGGTCATACAATGTAGAAAACAGTTTTTTATTAAATACTTAAATTGAGTTTTCATTTCTTATGGACTAGCCATGCAATATTTTTAATCTAGCTTGAATCTAGGTTATCATAGTATTTAAACTAATCATGACTAGCTAAGCAAGTCTAGTCAAGAATTAAAGGATATAACTAAATGTTCAAAATTTGTAATGTAAATCATGCGTGAGAGGGTGCTCTGGATAAGTGCTAAGCAGGATTAATCAAGTCTTGCAGGGGGGACAATTTTAACGGATCATTTATTCAATTCTAATTTCGTTGTTTCTTTCATCCCTTGATGCTTTTATTTCATATCATACATTTCCTTAGGGGGGGGGAGGGGGCCTCCAGGAGATCAGTGTGGGGCAGTTCGTTTAGTGAACTCACAATTTTTCCGGTGGGACAATCACTATTAAATATTCACTTTCACCTGCATTTTCCTGAAAATGGCGTAAAAAGGCATACTCGTCATCTTTCCCCACCTATATGCCTTCTAGGCCTCCTAGGACTTAAACTCAATAGGTAAATCTGGTAAATTTAAAGTCCTGTTCTTCAAACGTGTAAACCAGATTTGTTGGAAAGAGACAAAAATAAACTCTTGAATTTTGTATTTACTAAAAGGATGTATGTGATTCAGACGAGAAAATAAGGAGAATATGGCTCGGATTATAACAGTATATGATAAATTGCAACCCCCCTCTCGTTGGCATCAGTATATTCAATATAAATAAATATATATGTTTGCGATCAAACAAAGCCACCATGCTGCGACTAATATTGCTAAGTATATAGATTTCACCGAATTGATGAAAAATTGCAAACTCCCTCTCTCTGAAGGGTGTTACTTTAGCTGTTGCTTTGAAATTCGCCATTTTTTTATCTTACTTCAATTTTCACTGATTTGTCTGTTTTAATTTGCGCATTTTAATAGATAATGATTGGAAGCTCTTTAACCTTAAAATAAAATTGGGCATGACGGATCAGAGCCGTATGCCGTTTTTTGGATACAGACAGAAAAAACAAGCAAGCTAAATATAGTGCTTTCAGCTTTAATTGTAATAAATACAGTGGCAGATCCCATAGTAACCTAGATAAATTACGTTGTACATTGTCCGTAAGCCTAAATATCAGTAAATATGCATATAATGCATTGCGATTAACCTAACCTAGATACGTCTAAATATAACTCTGTCGAACCCATATTGTGATTAGCTTAACTACGTTTTATATAAAGACGCAAAACTAGTAATTACGTCTATTAAACTTAATCTGTAATCTAGAACCCAAAAATATACTCAAATGGAATATTCTCCACTTTGATTACTGTGCGAGAAGTAATTGTTCCTCATGTAGCGTACAAGTTTATGAGATCGTGCCCACTGGTTTGGCATTGATAGTTTATGAGAACGTGCCCACTGGTTTGGCATTGATAGTTTATGAGATCGTGCACAGTGTGTGGCATTGATAGACTCTGAGATAGAACCCAGTGATTTAGCATTGATAGTTTATGAGATCGTGCCTAGTGTTTGGCATTGATAGTTTACGAGATCATGCCCAGTGTTTGGCATTTTTATATTCTGAAATTGTGCCCAGTGGTTTGGAATTTATAGTTTTTGAGATCGTGCCCTGTGTTTGGCATTGATAGTCTCAGAGATCGTGTCGGAGTTGAGACATTGATAGTTCATGATAAAGATAGATCGTGTCCTGTTTGACATTGATAAGAAAGTTACATTGAGTTGTACCTGGATTGATACGGGTTTTAGAAACCCTTACTGGAGTAGCGCATTTACTACATACCAAGTAACTTGTAAGCTTCAAAATTAAATTCTATTGAAGTCTGTACAGATCTTACAAAAAAGCGGTAAAAAATACATACTAATTCATAGAATTTGTATAATTTATTTATTTATGAAAGCGGTAAATGATAAATGTATTAAAAAAACAATTTTGACGATAAAACATCTTTAATACAGCTGAACTTATTAAAGTTATGAATAAATCAAGCAAATAATTCGTAATTCATGATTTTATGAAAACATTTAATTTGATCAGTTATCAGAAATTGTAAAAAAAAATTAATAAAAATATTTAATATTTCATATAAAGCAATAATCAGAACAGCTTCTCAGTTTTCATATTTATTAATACAAATTGTTTCAGATCTCTCAATAAACATGGTTTAACTGATGTTTTACAACAAATATTATGGATTTTCTTAAGAAAAGTTTTTGAAATTGTCAATTAATTTCTTGAGAATCCGTTAAAAAAATTTAGAAAATCCATAATATTTGTTGTAAAACATCAGTTAACCCATGTTTATTGACTGATGAGGATCGAGAGATCTGAAACAATTTGTATTAATAAATATGAAAACTGAGAAGCTGCTTTGATTATTGCTTTATAGTTAAATATCTCCAACTACTTCTTGTTGTTCTACTGGATAATATTCCATATATACATAAAAACAAGAAAGATTTTTCGACCCGGATATTGATTTGAAGTAGTTATTATTTTTTTTTTATATTTTTATTATTAATCGGTACTGAGACATTTTATAGATGGATATTTCGTAAGTAACACAATTACAGAATTTCATTGGAACATTTACTAAATTTATAGATAAAGAGTGGCGAGGTCACAAAGTCATACCAATTATGCCTCATGGATTAAACTTTTGGTCTGGTAGAGTGTGAATAAACATCATCTGTGAAAAATCTTCTTTTTCCATGAAAAATGTTCTGTCTAATGCAGGGGCGTAAATAAGGATTCTGTAGGGGCGGTAAAATTTTTACCCCCCCCCCCCCTAGAAAAATATCATGATGTTTATCAAATAATTGGTTTTAATTGGGTTTGAATTGCATTTTCCACTCATTTCTGGCATTTACAAACTCCATAAATTAAAGACTTCATTTCATACTTTTCAGCTTTCATTCACCTTGTTTCATATCCTTCATTATAGTCATTCAAAAACAATAGTTTTACTCTAAGAGGAAAAAGATACTTTTTAAATCTTTAGAAAAGCTACTCTGCAAAACTTTGAAAAAATATTGTCTTATTTCAAATTTCTAAAATTCTCTTGTCGTCAATGTTGTATGATAAGATCTTAAATAAATCTAATGTGGAAATGACATTATTCAGAAGTAAAAATGTATTTTTCATTTCCCATCCCCATATACTTTTTCTATTAAAAAAAAACATCTAATTGTAATGACATTGACTATTACTTTAGAATTTAGAATCATTTAGAATATGTTGACTTAAAATCTGAAATATCTGAAGTATCTGCATATTTAAATTATTTTCTCGCAAATTTAAAAGATATTCAATTTTAAAATCAACCTTTTTTTAAAAACAAAAACAAAGTAACAACTCGCTATTCAGGGCCTAAATAGTTCAGGGGTAATTACCTCCAAGATTGTGGGGGGGGGGGTAATTACCCCCAGAATTTTAGGGGGGGTATTTACTCTCAGGATTCTAGGGAAGGGGGGGGTAAATAACCCAAATAACCCCCTTATTTACCCCACTGGTCTAATGTCTATGAAATGTGCTGTCTATAAATTGTCCATCTATAAATGTTTTCTTATTTTTATAAAAATCATTAAATCCAACCTCCATGATGATGCTGACTGAATTTAATTTAGTATTTTTTGAAAATATTCTTTTCGTTAAACTTTTCCAAGGAAAAAATGCAATAACAGGGTGACACATAACTTTTAATATAAAAATATGAATATATCGTGTCCGGGTCATGATTATGTTTTACATCTCCTGAGCGTATAAAGCGCGAGCACAGAACTGCTGAGATTTTAGGCAAATTGGTGCAGTAAGAAATTGGTTAGTTTTGCTTGTTCTTTCACATTATAAACAGTGATTATAAATATTAAGTGGAATAATTGGCATCCTTGATATTTCTTTTAACCACTAAATAGGAAGGGGGGGGGGAGTTTAGCGTTCCTCTTGGTATTGTTTAGTCATTTCCTAATAAACTTTTAATTATATATTCACCGTAAAAATAATTTCAAGGATTTTGTATTTTTTTTAATCCATTGAAGAGAATTATTTATAATTGAGCTATTTATTTCAAATTAACAAATTTAAAGATCATTTTTCTAAACTTGGATTGCATAAATACCTTTACAATAAGGATTTTTTAGGCCGTACGTAGTGTTTAATCCACCACTTTTTCAAGGTGAACAAAAATGCCGCTGAAATTTAGTAATTTTAAAATAACTTGATAAAATTAATTAATATTATTGCAGTTTTAAAATTATGTAATGAATAATATATGCTTTTTTGGCTCAAAGGATATATCGTCATCATTTTAAGTAACACGCCATTTAAAAAGAGGTTGCAGTCACTTGCATGCCATGTTCACAATGGTATACCCTTGAAACCTTTATCGGATAATTAATATGGGATAATTGCAAATAATTTGCGATTAACTTTTAAAAAGAAACCACAAATGAAAATCAAACAGTTTTTTAAGAACAAAAAGACGAACAGATAATTCATGCCTAATCAAAGGGATTCAGGGTACACCGGTGGGAATCGGTCATCCCCGTCTTTTAATTGAGGGTCCCTTAAAATTACGACAGCCGTCCCTTTAAGCTTAGCTCAATAAACCACCCTAGGACGGTCAGGTCATTTTTTAATGTCATGTAAAATGTGGAAAAACTTTAAATCTCAGTTTTTAATTTCTCATTTAAAACATAAAATTGTTACTTGGAAAGAATTAGATTAAACTATTTAAATTTTAAAGGGACTTAAAGCGTAATTTTGAGTGCCCCGCCGTACAAAGATGACAATGCCCGAGTTAAAATAGAACCCTTGGCAGCTTTGTATGATTAAGTATGAATTAGATATCAATGTGGACTCTTTAAAGTGACTTTTCTACTGCAGGAAAACATTTAGAAATTATTAAAATTAATCACTTTTATCCCCAGTAAACCGACAGTACATGTTAAATGATTGATCAGATAACAGTTACAATGATAAAGTAGTAATCATTTCCTAGTAATCTTTGCTTGAATTACGATGACAGTCCCTTTAATTTGTTAGATTCAAGATAGGAAATGGGAGATGTTCCTGTACTTCTTCAGGGACTGTACAATAGTATTAGGTAACAATTAACCTTTTTAAAGGGACTGTACAATAGTATTAGGTAACAATTAACCTTTTTAAAGGGACTGTACAACAGTATTAGGTAACAATCAAGCTTCTTAAAGGGACTGTACAATAGTATTAGGAAACAATTCAGCTTTTCAAAGGGACTGTACAATAGTATTAGGTAACAATTAACCTTAAAGGGACTGTACAATAGTATTAGGTAACAATTAACCTTTTTAAAGGGACTGTACAATAGTATTAGGTAACAATTAACCTTTTCAAAGGGACTGTACAATAGTATTAGGTAACAATTAACCTTTTTAAATGGACTGTACAATAGTATTAGGTAACAATCAAGCTTTTTAAAGCTTTCGCCATAAATCAACCGGTAAAGAGGTTAATACCTTCGTTTATGAAGATATTCTTATTTTGTTTGTTTTTCAACCTAAACATTTTATTTATATTTTTCGACGATATATTTCTTATTGGTGCGCAGATAAAAGGTGCGGTTGTGAATCTGACAATTCTCTGAAAAGAGGTCTCTTGAAATTACGTCGACAATTCCTATCCGATAAAAAAAATATTAGAATGTCAAGTATAATTTTTGGATCTGATTTATTTTTGTTATTTTCATGTTAAACCATAACCAGTAAAAAGTGAGAGTTTATTAGATAGATTTTGTAATTTGATATAACTATTAAAACCTTAAAAACAGAAGGGTAGCTTCGGGGGCTCAGCACCTCACAGTAATATCTATGGTTTCCAAGGACCCAACAGGGCAGCGCAGCACGGCGTGCACACCCTGGAAAGAGAAAATTAAAGCCTCACAACCTTGGACAAATTCCTGAGTACACCCCTGTTTAGAGAGAGCCGAGTTCAGACTTGTTTCAATTCGTTCGTTCATCGTTCGTTAACGACCCATTTCGTTCGGTGGTTTTTAGTCATTCAGAAAAAAATTTAATTCGTTCGTTTTCATAATTTTTGTTCATTTTCTAACTGAACGATCATTACAAACCTGGAAAACAATGTTAAGCTAAATTTTAAGATTTAGACTAAAATGACTTCGGAATCTACTGGTATACACATCAAGTGACGGGACTATTAAGGTTTTCAGACTTTTATAAGTTTCCGCAAATTTCCAAATTGTTTATTTTAAACATGGGCCTTTCTGAAACTTTGGAAATTTTTGTATGCAGAAAACGAACCAAAACAATGTGTTCTCTTGGGATAAAAATAATACAAAGTTTAAACATTTTAAATAGCAAACTTATACAGAAATGTTGGATTTTAACGTTTTAAACGTAAATTTTTCTCTTTTAAACTTTTAGGTTTAAAGAACATTAAACTATAAACCAAAACGAGAATTCAAATAAAAAGAAACGAACTCATCTCGCGCCCCATGGTTCATGGGGTCACTATAAAGTAATATACATAACAGAGTTACCGACTAACAATGCGACTTTAATACGTAAAACTCAGTAAAAAAAAGGATCCGAAGTTATTTGAAGTTATTTTTATTTTAGTTTAAAATCTTGAAAACCTATTTTCCCTCGAAAATATTTTTTAAATCTTTATATTTGATTTGTCCCACTTATTTGTTAAATGGAAACTAAAATATTTACAGAGCAGCAAAGTCCAAACAGCCATTCAAAATGGAGTTGCTAAAACGTTAAATGCACTGCAGCCTGAAAAGGTTCTTTTAGTTCAATGCTCTTTACAAAAATTAATAGGAATCGCAAAGTGTTTTTTTTAAGTTAATAAAACGATCTAGCTTTTAAAGAAATATTTTTTTTCGTGGAACTTATAATTAAATTATTTAATATTACTTTCCACAAATAAAAACATATATCTTTACATGTTTTCTTTAAAGAAACTGCATAGATGTAATTTCAATTGACTCTCCATTTATACATTGCCATGTCCGATTCACATCAGTATCCTTACAAGCTTTGTCGGGCCAAGACTGCATGAGATATCCATGTATTTCTCATGATTATTTCTAATTGTGGTTTCTTTCTATAAAAGATGTTTAACTAAAAACATGCCTTTTGAGTTTTTCGGGCCTCCTGCAAAAGAAAATTAAACAAATTCGATAAGAAAATTGAAAGATAAGATAAAAAATGTAACATTCTGTGTAAAATATGAAATTGCGAGCCGGTCAAATGAAAATATTCTGAATTTACTTGGAGCTGCTAAAAATTCATAGAATCTGCAGGATCAGAAAATCTCCGCTCTATAGATCATCAGGGTTCATCAAGGATTCATCAAAATTGACTGGACGAAGGCTATAAGACGTCATTTATTTCTGCTTGTTCATCTTGTTGAAAACTTTGACATTTTAAAATTTTCGTGATCATAACTCATGTAGCTCTATCTTTTTTTTCCTAAATCTACTATTTTCTCTCTTTTTATGTTGTAGAATCATTAATTCATAAAATCTAATCGTCTTCGGCTAAAAAAAATGTGTAAATATGTGTAAAGTTTTTTTACCGGTTCTGATGAGAAATAAAACACTCAAAGTAGATTAAAATATAAATAAGATCCATTTAGCTGGCAGCAGGTTATTATTATGGATTATAATATTATATCTGGCTCGTGGGATTACCTTTAAAATCAGAATTTATTCCTGTTCCAGACTCTAAATTTTGTAATAAAATCTAATTTTGCAGCAAAAGTTATATTCCTGCCAATTAAGGGATACAAATCGCTTATTTTGCAGTAATCCAAATTTTCTGCCAAATAAGCAATTTTTTTAAGATTTAGAGTGCATGTAGAGATACAATATATTTTATTTTTTCAATTATTCTTGCTTTAAAGGATCAAAAACTATTTTTTTTTAGTTTGATACACTTTATATAAAGACTTGCGCATTCCTGATATAGAAAGATTGAGAAAAATGTCAGAATTAAAGACTTTTCAAGCTGTGAAAACGAAGATATTATCCACATTATTGTTAATAAGATAAAGGTTTCGAAGCAGCCATTCCCCTCTATTGGCGATTTGTCGCTTGAAATTACAATAACAATTCTTATTTTGATTTTTTTTTTTTAGAAGTCAAGATTCTGGGTTTTCTGACTCTGGAGATGATCAAACAGATATAATTGAAGAGATTACAAACAACATAGAAGATCTTGAACAAGATGAAAGCAATGTAAATTTGGACAATGGGACTTATCACGAAAATGACCATGACAGTCAGAATTATGGGTCTCGTGATACTGGATCTGAAATCAAAAAAGATCCAAAAATTGAAAATAAAGAGTCAGAAAAAGATGTTCTGCAGGGAGAAATTGTTCTTGATGATTTGAAAGATGATGTTAATGAAGAAAATCATTATGGAGATGACTCTAATAAAGATGACGATCATGAATTTAGGATTATGAACATAAATGAAAATGAGTATGAAAAGGTATTTAATTGACTAAGCTAAGGGAGGATATGTATTTTACTTTGACGTATAAGAACTGTTTTGAAAATTCTTCTAATCATTTCTCATGTTTATTTACAATACATCAGTTTTTTGGCCTGCAAAAATTATAACAAAAGTCAGTTATAAACAAATCCTATTTCTACTTCTTAGTTCTACACACATTGGTATATACAGAGTGTCCAATTAATTCTGACAATTTTTAAACAGATATAAGACTGTTAGTTACGGGATTTTTTGACAATTTCTCAACAGGTTTGAGCAACTGTAATAAAAATGTTTTTGTAATATATCAAAAAATCCACGAAATGGATTGCAGAAAATACTCAAATACTTTGGTCTTGTCCTCTTCCAATTATAATCGAACCCGCCCTTGGTCTGGAATTTTTCCATTTACCATCTTAAAAGATTTTTTTTTGTGAGAGATAGTCTTCATGTTTGTGATTCTCTGTTAGTCTATGAAATCTCTTACAAGTTGTGTTAAAAACTCTGGAATAGGAAGTCGACTATTAAGTTATGACTTTAAATGTTCCAATGAGAATGAGAATTATACACAGCAATTGTTCAGAGTAAACAGACCTTTTTACTTAATAGTTTTAAATAATCCAAATCTGAGCTGCTTGAGAAAATACCATTTTGAGGAAATGTCATGTCTGGGAATCCGGTATTTGAGTATTTTCTGCAATACAATTCGTGGATTTTTTGTAATATTACAGATCATTAATATTACATTTACATAAAATACTATTTCATTTAGGCCTGCGAAGATTCGAGGATTACAGCAAAACAGGATTATGATAAACAGAATCTTGTAACAACACAGAACAGTTCAGAACAGAATCTTGTAACTACACAGAACAGTTCAGAACCAAATCTTGTTCCTAAACAGAACTGTGCAGAGCACAATCTTGTAACAACACAGAACTGTATAGAACAGAATCTTGTTACAAAACCGAACTGTTTAGAACAGAATCTTGTTACAAAACAGAACTGTTCAGAACAGAATCTTGTTACAAAACAGAACTGTTCTGAACAGAATCTAGTTACAAAACAGAACTGTTCAGAACAGAATCTTGTTACAAAACAGAACTGTTCAGAACAGAATCTTGTTACAAAACAGAACTATTCAGAACAGAATCTTGTTACAAAACAGAACTGTTTAGAACAGAATCTTGTAACAAAACAGAACTGTTCAGAACAGAATCTTGTAACAAAACAGAACTGTTCAGAACAGAATCTTGTCACAAAACAGAACTGTTCAGAGCAGAATCTTGTAACAGAACAGAATCTTGTTTCAAAACAGAACTGTTCAGAACAGAATCTTGTAACAGAACAGAATCTTGTAACAGAACAGAATCTTGTTACAAAACAGAACTGTTCAGAACAGAATCTTGTTACAAAACAGAATTGTTCAGAACAGAATCTTTTTACAAAACAGAACTGTTCGGAACATAATCTTTTTACAAAACAGAATTGTTCCAGACAGGATTTCGAAAGAAAAGAAACCAGCGAAGAACCCGAATATATTACAAAAATAAGAATATTCTCAAACCAAACATCTTCTACACATACTGTTTCTTTAATTCAAATCCCTAACATTAAAGGAAGAATATATCCACCAATCATTCAGAACTCCCAAGCTTCAGGTTTGAAATATTATTATAATCATAATAAATGAATTAGTAATTTAATGGGAATATCTAAATTTTCTTTTTTTATGGGATTGTTCCCCTGTTTGTAGGTTTTTTTTTAAATTTTTGATAAATTTTCGCAAAAATATTTGATAATTTTCGGAAAAAAGCTTTGTCTGATCAGGTATGAATTAGATACTGTTAATTTTCATTGGGATTTCTCTGCATTTCTTGCTTCAGAAGCACATGAGAAATTAACAGAATTTAACACTTCTCAAGCCAGAAAAACGATGATATCTTCAAACATTATTGATCAGATTGGGAATAGGAATCGCACCCTCTTTTAATTAAAGTTTATACATCCTAGAAATTAGTTAAACTAGTCTTACCTAGTTTAACTTCTTCTCGCTATTCATTAGATCCGATCCTTGATTATTTAACGGAACAAGCTTGCCAATTTATGGTTTAGGATCTGAGAGAGAAAATGAAAAAGAAGGAAAAGTAGAAGTGGAAAGAGCGAAAGTGCTAATGAGAAGAAAGAATGATGAAAAAGGAACAAAAAGAGAGCACAGACAAATAGTTCGAGAAGTTTCGATACATCCTAAAGCCTCAATAGGTAATTTTGAGGATCTACATATCATACTACAAACTATTCATAACTTGGCTTTCTAGGTGTTAAAAGGTTTTAAGCATATTTTGTACAGTTTTCACTTTTCACATGTAGCTTTTTTTTACATTTATTTATTCATGAAACAAAAAACTAAAAAATCCTATTTTCAACAAATTCGAAAAATTTGGATTGTTTTAAGTAACATTAATAAATTTTGACTGGCCAAAAGTTTCCCTGATATCATTTGAGATGCCCAAAAAAGTTTATAATGAAAACTATTTTGGTAACTCTCTCCTTAATAAATTGAAGATTTTAAAAGTTAATTTACCAAACACCATACAATTGAAGATGTATTTTCGCAACATGATGATATTTTTAGAAAATGAAATTTAATTATTTTTATTATTATGCATTTTATCTCTTCAGTTTCAAAAATGTTTTGAATTTCTTTTAGAAGGATTTTCAATAATTTCAAGTTTAACATTTTTCGAATTGTATTTTGTAAAAGGTTGCCTTATTAAATTATTAAACATCTTAACTCTGACAAAAGAAATAATTGTGAGAGATTTTTAATAATGTTCATTCATGAATGATTGATTTTCTTGATTTCGTCGAAGTAATAATTCTGATTAACTTTATAAAAGAAAATAAATTTTGAATATTAGACTTCTAAGTTTTTTATGAAAACCTTCTAAAAGTTAAAAATCCCCCGAATATATAAAAAAGAAGGACAACAAAGATGCTCAACTATCTGATTAATCTAGTTTTTGATTGTCGTCAAAAATTATCAAACGGAAAGCTTTTTGAAGAATTTTCCAAGTGGAAACTTTCTGGGTTAGCATTACAGCTTTAATTTGTAATTTTGAACTTTTATGAATTAATTTCAAAGTTTTTCTTCTGTTCAGTGCCCAGATGTGGTTTGAAAAGGATAAGAAAAGTGCAAACCCCTGTACCAATTATACCAACTATATACCCGGAAAACCATCTTCAACCACTCACCATTATAGGGAAAAAGACATATTTGTATTTGATCAATTATCATCCATCTTTAACCTCTTGTATGTTTATAAGTAATTTTGTATTTTACTAGCGGTTTAATGGCTTAATCAGAATTGAACCCAGAATCGATTTCGACCAATTTTACTTATATCTGATGTATTTTTTAATATGTTATAGAGGACGTGAGGTCGATCTCTAATGAAACGCATAAAGTAACTTCCAGTATATATATTTCTTATAACTTTTACTAGAGGGTTCAGAAATGTGTTAATATCAAGATCACACGCGTTAGGGTGAAAGTACAATGCCCCGTATCCGTTCTATCTAATTCTGGCGAATCTTGTGGAACTTATTTTAGGCGGCCAGGTATCGTCTTCCACAATGTCAAACACTTTCGTTTAGGAACAATTTTAAGCTATAATTGGTTCTTTTCAGGATAGATTTCCAAAAAATATGCGGTTAACATTTTTAAATTTTCGGCCATACGATGCCGCCATGCGAGCTAACACTCTTTTGACTGAAATTGCGTACAAGCTTTTTAACTAGGATTTTTAATTTTTTACCGAATCGATCTGGTTCCGTTAACCCTATCCTGATTGGGCTATATTTGTCTAATAATTGTAAGGGGACCGGCGCGGGGTCCCCAGCGATTTTACCCTTAAAGTTCAGGGAAGTGTGATACATGTCCCTAGTCTAACTCAAGGCCTGCTTATTTAAAAAAAAGACCTCTAACTTTAATGGTTAGGGCGACAGTTAGGATTTTAAAAAAGTTCAAAAAGTACGTCGGAAAATATTAAAAAATAGTAATTTTAACTTTTGACAAATATTAACTTACTAGAAATTCAAGGCGCTTCGCGCCCTTCTTTCTAGGCTTTTAGGGCGCTTCGCACCCATCTTCTATTTAAATTGTGAACATGTTCTTTTTGTTTATATTTCAAAACAAAGATGAAAAAAATTTTGCGGATTTTTAAAAAAAAATTCGCGGATTTTCAAAAATTTAAATTTTTTTACAAAATTAAAAACCTTTAAAACACAAATTTTTAAAATTTCAATCATTCATAAACCTTCCCTGGGGTCCCTAGATGTCCCACAAAAAATTTGGGCCCGATCGGTTCAGCCGTTTTGACGTTTATTGGATACAAACAGACAAACAAACAAACAGACAAGCCAAATTTATATATAGATGACACATGTTATTATATCCATTTTTCAAGGGCTTTTTAAATATTTAAATTTTAGCTATGAAGCTTAATTAACCATTTCTGTCGTTAGACCATCCTTCACCCTACCCTCTATGCATCAAAAAAAGTTTTTTTTTGTCAAAATTTGTTCACGACTATGAAGTTGAAAAAGTGAAGAAGTTAATGTAAGCTGTCTTAAAATTATTTAGCAAAACACCACAGGGGGGGGTGGAACCCCCCACGGAACCCCCCACCCCCCAATCGTGATAGGGTTGTAAACAAAAAAATCCCGAGATTTGATAGTTTACAACTTAATCATGTTTTTAGAAACAAATACAAATGTTTAAAAGTTAATTTTCTTCATATTAGTCTATAATGCCACAGATATCTTTAACCAAAAGAAATATTAAAGATGATTGTCAGCCCCTCCTCAAACATAATTTTGTTAATCAGATAGAACATCCACTCTAAAAAAATTATGGACTAATGACTTATTCAGCTACTAGGCTACTAATCTTCTAATCTATAAAGCAATATTAAACTAATTATAAAGGCATTATGGAACCTTTCCTGCTGCTTCACAGAGCCAAAAGTTAAATTATAAAAAAAGTTTACTGGGTTAGTTATTCAGGATGAATTCCATTCGGAAAATTGATCCGAATAAAAGATAACTTTTAACATTTACAGAATGTTTTTATCCCTTGAAGAGCATGAGGAGCAGTCAGCTGTTAATCCAGTTGAAGATTGGTGCAACGTAAGTTTTCAAGATATTATTATAGGGTGTCCCATGAAACATGACAGTTGGTGAATAGTTTTGAATGTCTTCTTCCATATACTGGATTAGATGTTATAGCCTTTTTGCAGTTTATTTAGTTTTAAATAAAACCTTTAACACAAATATATTTAACTTTGAAATCCAAATTAGCTATAATATACTGCCAGTGAATATTTTGTTTATCATTTTCTTTGGTATCAAATAACATATTATGGAAGAAGACAATTTAAACTACTCACCGACTGTCATGTTTCGTAGGACACCCTCAACAATAGAATTCAACCAAAACCGTAGAAATAAAAAAATAAAGTGGAAATTAGTTTAGAGGGACTGTACTTGTAGACGCACTTTCAAGTTATCTCCATTTATAGAAGGGTATATCCGATTAACAACGGTACTGATAAAGAATTGATGAGCTATTATCATTTCTCTCTTTAAAATTATTTTTTTCTGTTGTGATTTCTTCGTAAAATTAACCTCTGCTTTCAGAAACAATAGAGGAAATTGTCAGAAGTAAACACTATTCAAGCAAGAAGAACGACGATATCTTCCACATCATTAATTAGATGAAGGTTTAAATGGTACCGTTCTAGATCGGACCTGCCCCTTTTTAAAAGAGAGTTTCTTGAAATTACAACATACACCAAATTATCAGTCCCTTTCAGTTTATAGTGTGCATTTTTTATTTGTTAATATGTATACAGGAGCTTTACTTGTCCCTGGAGCCCGAGTGTATGACTTATCTGCAAAGTAAACCAGTTCGTGGCGTGTCACCAACACCAAGCCAAACCACACCGACGCCATCTTGTTTCTTTCCAAATCATAAACTGCCACCAATAGGTAATTTAAGCTAATTTCTCTTTAAAATTTTATCATAATTTTTTAAAAGATCTTTTAGCACCACTTTCAAAATGTGGTCTGCTTTTTTGTGCCTTAAAGATGATCAGTTTTTTTTTGTTTTGGCATTTTCGTACAATTTTAAAAGCTTTGCACTAGATCTGTACATAATGCATCATTAGGGATAAGACATCTTTCTGAAATAACTTTACAGCAGAAAATTTGTATTCTACTTGGAATTCTAAAGTATGGTTAAAAGATTAATTTTTCACAAAAATCAAAGATGGCTGCCTCAAATGAATTTTTATGAAACAAAACTGCATCTTTAATTTAGAATAAATACAATGGACCCCCATCTTAAGATTAATTAATCTATAAAACTAAATTTTTTTAAACACCATGAATATACTAAAATACACACCTTTGAGAGAAAAACACTTTAGTTTATAATAACTAGCCTTAGAGGGCGCTTCGCGCCCATCTTCTAAATTAATTGTGAACATGTTCTCTTTCTGTACATCGTAAAACAAAACAAAAATAATTCGCGGATTTTCACAAAAAATTTCGTGGATTTTCAAAATTTTCAAAAATTTAATGACGATCGAATTTTGATAGAGACAAATATTTAAAATTTTGATCATTCATAAACCTTCCCTGGGCTCCCTAGATGTCCCACAAAAAATTTGGGCCCGATCGGTTCAGCCGTTTTGACGTTTATTGGATACAAACAAACAAACAGACAAACAGACAGACAGACAAGCCAAATTTATATATAGATGAATATATCTAGCACTTAGAGACATCTTTGAACCGTTGCAATGCCTGATTCACAACGGTACCTTTCAAAGATTTTCTATTTAGGGTTCTCTGCGAAAGTAAATTGCGCATTTCTTGTTAATAAGAAGCAATGGAGAAACTCACAAAATAGAAACTGTTCGAGTCAGAAAACGACGGAATCTTTTTAAACAGATTAAAGTATTCAAGGGTACCGTTGTAAATTGGATATTGTCAGGTTTGCATAGAGGCTCAATTGAAATTACGCTAACAGTCCCTTTATCTCCGATTCAGGAACAATCCGACGAATTGTGAAGACTGTAGACGGA